CTACAGCATTTTTTCACACCTGCCTAAAACATTTGCACAGTACTGTATATTCCTAGATAAAATATTTATTAAAAAAAGGAAAATGGTTGGAGAAATTTTAATATATGCAAATACTGGAAGAAAGACAGTAATATGTTGCTCATTATAAGAATGTTGAAAAAAGTGAAATAGCTGTGTTCTGTGCTTCTGACAAACTTCATTACAGGGAAACAAGAGTTGTGCATGTGAGGAGAATCAAAAGTAAATTGAATGCAGTGGGAGTGGGGCCATTAAGTGTGTGTGGGATAAAATAGGGTTAAAAGTGAATGGGTGATGAATGAATGTGAGTTGAATATGAGTGTGTGGTTGAGAGAAAAAGGCTGAGAAAGTTGTGGTTGGAGTGAGATTCTGAAAGAGAGAGGTGAGAAGTTTATGAAGTGATGCATTGAAGTGGTAGAAGGACCAATGGGAAAGTATGGACAGGTATAATGAATAGTGTTGATTTAAACTAGATTTAGTTGTATTTCCTTTTCCTTTCTTATGTCATGTCTTCCATTTTTTGGCTTATTATTTCTTACCCATGTCTGCAATTTGGGTAACACTGCTTACATGAAAAGGAATCAGGATTATGGATATGGATATATGTAGAGTAATCGAAGCCTCATCATCCATAATGAAGCATCACTAACTGAATGTTTGTATATCAGTTTATGGCCATTAGCTGAGTAAGGGCTATTCTTTGGGTATCTCAATCACCAAGAAACATTAGCTTGTAACTGGGTGAGACACATTTGGTTTACTTTTTAAATGTTTATTTTGTTTGTAATGAAAATATTGCAACTGAATTCTGTGTAAATTTGCATATACATAAAGGTTTTTCGTAACTGCTGTATAGTATTTTTGACAACAGGGTTTCATTATATTCCCTCCCAAAACACAGCTTAGCTCTACCTTCTTTCACAGTAATTGTCTGTAATGTAATTTATTAGGGTTTTTTTTTTTTACAAGTAACACTTTAAAAGATGCAAAACAGACCAAAATAAACTCAAAAAGTCTTTATTTAGTGTAAATTCTGAGATAACAGCACATTGGTCGAACATAGGGTCCAATAGTGGGTTTGTTCACAGTAACAATCACATCTAGGACATTAAAACTCAGTATCACATTAACAATCCTATTTAGATGGCACTTTCTCACATTGCTAGCTCTTTGAGTTAGTCTGAAACTGGGTAGAAGCAATTCCCGTGAACAGGTGGGTGCTTGTCAAACAGTTCTTTGCTTTTGTTCTGTCACTAATGCCTGCTAATCTTAGCTCCCACTGGAGTTACAAATACCAGTGAAGTGCAGATTGCCGGCTTCGCATGGTCAATTCTAAATAATCTCCCCTCTTTGCTAAGTTACTGAAAGTCTCTGTAAGTTCAGGTCTCTTTATTGTTTGGTCCTATGATTAGATGGTTCCTGGCTTGTTCTGCATTAACTCACAGCCATTCATGACCAGTTTCCCTTCTCGTTCCCACTTTTCTCAAATGTATGAAGTCGTATAGAAGGAGAAGAGACTGAGGAATCCCCATGCATTTCACCAAGTGGTAAGATGGCACTTAATCACCAGTCAGTTGTGTCCCTGCATAGTCCAAATGTTTGCTTTTGAATCTGAAACTTTGCACTTGCATTGCACCCATAGAGGGAGAGAGAATAGGAAAACTGCTAGTTGAGCAGGTTGTTTGGCTTACTAAAAGGTCAATGGAAATGGGAAAAATGAAACTAGTTTCAAACACATATTCCTCATAGAATAGTGTGAAAAAATATTCTAGAATCTTTCTCTAGTAGGATTCCCCAGGGAGGCGGGAAAAAAGCATCAAACATGGACATAGTTTGCTAGAAGACACTTCCCATCTCTTTTAGGCCTCCTATTACACAAGTACCAATTATGATAATACTGCTGTTTTGAACCCTTGGCAGCTTATGTTCCTCCAAAAACAGAAATACCCATCTACCCAGAAAGCAGTAGACTATTGCTTAGGACAGAAATTGAATCATCCTTAAACCACTATTAAGGAAACTGTGGCAAGAAAATCCCAACCAATGTTAGAACCAGGTCAAATTAGAAGCCATTCCATTCCACATCCCCTCCTAAAAACCTAACTATTGCTTCTTCCAAGTCCATTGGAACTGCAGCTCTCATTCTTAGCAATATCAACACAATTAAGTGACATCAGACTAAGGAAAGCACGTTCAACCTGCAAAAGTAAAATGACTCCCTACAGCTCACTTTTAATGTAAATTACATAATTTCTTAACAGCATTATTGTGCATATTCACAGGTATGTCACTGTGCATATATCTGCATCTAATTAAATTGCTTGCTTATCCTGGAAAACTAGTATATTATATAAGCCTTACTACATTTAACTGATTGAATTGTATCAGAGAGACATTTGGTACCTCTCTGTAACAGCTAGTATTTTTGTAGAGAGATGTGTGTCACACTTGAAAAACCCTAACTTCAATGAATGAAGTTTAATACTGAAGGGCAAAACATATATGGGAGCTAAGATGTGGTTATAAGTTAATAGGAATTATGCAGAAAAAGTATACCTATTACTAGTGAAAATTCTTCAATATATCTATTAACTGCTTACAAGATTATTTCTCCTAAGCTTGTATCATCACAACTGATAAATATTATCATGCAACTAAGTGTTCTGTAAGGTGGACATACTTAAATCAATTGCAGTGCTATAGTGGACCAATAAGTGAAAGGAACTTTAAGACATTTTTAAAATTATAATTTATTAATTCTGGAGAGTGGTATGCCAGGTTTTGGAGTGTTCTTTTTCCTCTTTACAATTTTGCAAGTGATGCATTATATTACTACATCCTAATTTTAAAGAATTATCCTCCACCCCCCAGCAAGCTAAACTATTTCTCTTCAACTGGAAGAATTAGCACAGATTTTCATGAAGAAGGATGCAGAAGAGATGAAGAATGTTCAACTTTTTTGGAAACAAAGAGAAGTCATGCAAATAACTCATTTCAATTAAGTATCTTCATACCACTCTGCACAACACTGTATTATTTTGCTAGCAAATAGTATTACTATAAAAACCATGATAATTAAAGTACTTGACCATGTATGACATTAACCATAAAAGCAGAATTGATTTTCAAAAGCACTTGTATTCAGACTGTGCTAGTAATAAATATAGTTTCTCTATGCTATCTTGCTGAAAGCTGACATTACAGACTTGCACTGTCCAGTTTATTAAAAAATTTTAAAATGTCTAGAACTACCATTAAATCTTCAGATCTTCAATGATGATACAAACTAGAGTATTATGTAGCCTTATGCAATTTAAAATTAAACAAAAGCAGCAGCAATACAATAGTATAGTTTGGTTACCAGTGCCTTACTTTCGTTTGCTTTTTGTGTCAGTAGTCTGAAAAACACTAGAGGCAGACATGAGATTTTCTATATATTGTCCAAGAACTTGATTTTCTGATTTCAGTTTCAAATTTTCTTCTTTAACGGCATCTACTCTTGCAGACAGATCTGAAAAGACACGAAGAGGTCTTTAGCAGCCAACTTTTAGACAAAAACATTAAAAAAAAATATTTTGCTAAAATTCTTGAAAGTCACTAAAAATATAAAAGCAATTGTATAATGAAATTCATCCAATGGCTCCAATACATGTATATACAGTATGTACTTAAAAATAAGCACATAGTGCCAAAAACCAAATCTGGTATCAGGTGGGGCACTCCAAAGTCGGGATGACAAAACTAAAAATGTCCTATGACTTCTGTCACCTCTAAAGGATCTGTCACCAGAGCACGTCTGTCTAGAAAAAGATGATCTTTACAATATTCTTGTTCACAACTAATTAAGTGTATAAATGTTGGACAGGTATCTTGAATTAAACCCATAAATGGATCAGAAGCTATTATAATTATTTCATAGAATCATAGGGTTGGAATGGACCCTGGAGGTCGTCTAATCCAACCTCCCTGCCCAGTGCAGGAATCCTCAAACCATCCAGGACAACAATGGGGGTTCTATATTCCAAGTCCTTAACCTGGCTGCTTTTGTAGCAATCTAAATTACTTACCCACAGTCAAAAAGAACCAACAGACATATTTAAATATACCACATTACTCTAGTTTCCTTAAAAAGCACTGTTGTTAGATTGTACCCATGGGCATAAAACTTATTACCCTATTAGCATATCCCACCAAATTAAAGAGAATATGCAAAATGTATCTACATAATCAGTTTACTTTCTCTATTAATAACATTCTATCAGTAAAATAATTTGGCATGAAGTTACACATCTAGATTAAGAAACTAACCTTCAAGTGTATGCTGCAGTTCCAAAACCTGATTAATAAGTCGTGTTTTTTCTTCTAATTCTACTTGATTTTCAGTCTCAACAGCTGTTAAGAAACACATAATCTTTACAACAGCTAAATATTATAACACACATAAAAGCAAAAATAGTAGTAAAAGTGCATTCTACCATCCATATCTGCATTCATCATTGCTAAACAGATCCTCTCTGTGTTCAAATCCTTCCAAGATATGTTCTGTTTGAAGGACAAAAAACAACATCAACAGTATGTACATACACAGAATCACTGTTTTCTAGCTTAATATTTTAGGCAGACAACACTTGTTACCAAAACTTCAACATGCAAGATTCAGCAGCCATTAAGAATGTGAAAATGGATAAATGATTCTGTAGATATAAATGCTAGCTTAAGAGACAAATTAATAGATATTTAAAATCACTGCTCAGTTTTCTATCATAGCAAAATCTAGCTACATTTTGCACATGTTAAAACTATCCACTTCCCAACTTTCTTCAACATTTTTGGAATATACATATATTCTTAAACTTTCGATAATTTAGCATTCTTTAAACAAATATTACTGCAGCCAAAAGGAGCACATTACAAAATTAAAATGAGAGTAGTTAGCTGGGGGTTTCAATTCATTTTAAGCGTATTTTAGGGTAATTTAAATCAATGCTCTGTAACCCCAATTCACATGCACATTTAACATTATACGCAGATGGATTATAAATGTCAGTGTAATAATACATTTGTATCCTCCAAATTGTCATGGGTTGAATTCAGTTGTGTTCTAAAGATGGGATTCCCTATTACCAGGGAGGGAGGGGAGAAAGATGCTTTCTCCAACACCTAAAGGGCTCTAAACACAGATCCTACCAGCTGAAGCGCGATTCTTCGCGTTTCTACCGCAAAGGTCTATTCGGAGGAAAATACGCCCTCTCCTTCGAAAGCACATACGCTTTTGCATCCTGACGGGAAGAAACCTTCGCCTACTTCCCATCAACCCATCCACACACTTCGGTCAATTCCCCTTCCATCACCACGCTGCGTCCCAGCTCCCGAAAAGCTCCCCAAGGAAGAAGCGCGCGCTCGACCCTTCTTTCTTCCGATTTCGTCACCTGCCAAAGAGGCGCTCGCCTACTTACCACCTGCACAGATTACCCTAGCACCCCGACCCCAGCCGAGTTCAAAAGCAGCCAGTACGCCTGCGCGATCTTTTCCGCGACCAAACAGTAGCGCACGCGCCTTGCCCCATGAAAACAACGAGGAGGGGAAGAAGTCGGGGAAAGGGAGGGCTTAGGGAGAGGAGATTTTCGCAGTCACCAATCACGGCAAACAAAGGGCAACGGTTTTTCTCGATACAACCAATAAGCGGCGGGAGACATCATCAGACGCTTCCCAGTCGTTCCACTTGTCGGCTTGTTGCTGCGGGGGAAGGCAGCTCCGCGAACAGAGTTGAAAGGGAGGCGCAGGCGCTTGTTCAAATCCAGCCCCCGTTTTTTCAGGGGACGTGGTTCTAATTATTTCTCTTGAGAAGCCCGCGCGTTGCTGATGTTGGTACGTTTTCCGCGCCAGAAAATAGGCTTTGGTTGTGCCACGTTTTTGTGGGGGAGGGAGGTCAAAATCACGGACTTAAGCGTGCAGGACCGTGTTTTTGCAGCAGAAAGATGTACTGGTGAAAGAAGGCAAACCTTCTCCAATGGCTTACTTTTATTTTAATTCTTCTTCCTGCGTGCTTTTTATTAGGCCGCACACCTGCAGTAGGAGCTCCCGAGCCAACTGTTGAGTAACTCAGAACTGGCTTGCGTCCCCCAGCCTGGTTTTTGTCGGGGCCTGCCACTTTAAATTTCTTAACGTGATTTTGGAATATTGTAAGAAAATATAAGTGAGGGATAGCTCAGAAATGCCTGTTGGGAGGTAGAAGAGAGCTTTGTATATAAAACTTTGTAAGGACAGCCTCAAATCTAATGCGACGTTAGCTGAAAGAAAATGGTATAGGGGCGCGAAGAGGAAGAGTAGGAAGCCAATGGTGGGAGACTTCGAATGATTTACCCATGCACTGCTTTTAGAAAAAAAAAAAAAGTTTTTTTTCCTTATGCCATTATTTGCCCAGTATGTTTGCCCAAAAAGTTACAGTGTTATTTTTTACTCTGCATGCTTTCTGTCAACCCAAAGTTTTCAGTCTTAAGTTGTGAGAACACAAAATGAGGATCTCTTTAACTTCAGTGCTGTATCCCAGGTAGTTGGCTACAGTGTTTGGATTAATGGATTGAAATAGTAGCTGTTTGGAGTTAGTAAGTAGCTATTGTTAGCAGCAATACATTTTCTGCACGATCCATGCTGCTTATGATTGTCCAGTGAGGTCCATCTTTGGGTCCTGTTAGTTTAGGTGGTGATGATTTGAGACTGGCTTTTTCCATTGCTGGTCCTTAGTTTGAAATATATTCCTGGTAAATATCAGGTATTTGACTTTTTAAAAAGCTCTTGAGAGAGCCATAAAGAGCTATCTTTTAAGCATGACTTTTAATAATATTTAAATTTTAAACTCTTACTATGAGTCTTACATTAGAGAAAAACAGATTAAAATGAATGTATTTTAATATTAACTGCCCTGAGCCATTTAAGAAATGTACAGAAATAATATGTTGATGAAGATTCTCAGTCATCCAGGTGGAATTATCTGGAGGTTGAGTCATGGCAACTGGACTTCTTTTC